CGCCACTGACGAGCAAAAGCTTCCCCAACATTCCGTAACTAATATGTGTGTCATTAGGGCTGGAAACCCTGGTCCTGTGATTTCTACGGTGTTGCGATCCCCCCCCAGCTATATCCCGCCAATTAATAAGCGCATTGGCTAAGTATAGAGCTGCGGGGGGGCATCCGTTGATTTAGTTAATTCCTGGTAGGGTTATTTCCCTTGAGGTTGGGATTGCTGTTGGGGCGGAATAAACTGAAGCAGAGGCGAATGGGACGGGAGAAGTTGAAGCAGAGGTGATATGGGCAGTCGTTGAAGCCCAGGCCGGCCAGGAAGGTCAGACCGCTCATGGGTAACAACATCAAGAATTTGGAAAAAAGGCTCATAATTGGATTGGTGTGGGACAATTGTGGCGCCCGTTATTTATAGTTTTTCTGGCCGTCACTAATTAGTTAGCTATCCGTGACGGACTCCTTAGGACAAACAAAGGAAATAACGGTGGGAATTGTCGGAAATTCCAATTTATGGTGCCGCTGCAAATAAACACATAGCCGTGATGACACTCTATTTGATCTGTGTGCCAGTATGATTGAGAGTCAATCTTTATCTGAATATCCTTCACAGCCCCAACACCTCATCGTACCTTCAGATAAATGGCTCGTTGGTGCCCTGAATCTTTGACAACTTCCTGTAGGGACCTCAAGAATCATGGTACCTGCATGCTCCTAGAACCAAATTGAATATAGGCTTCTCGGGCATTGAGAAAATTTCAACCAGCATATCGCTCTATTCTCGCCAACAAAGTCACGAGCCGTAAACAAAAGGGCTCAAAATATTCTTGCAGGCAAAACTTTCACACATCGCTAAAAGCATGAACTGTACGGGACATCGATGAAGTAATGCCGGCACTTGCGTTTATCCAGCAAAGACCAAGACGTCTGCGCCAACTCAATCTAAGTTAACTAGAGGCGTTAGCTGGTATTTAACAGATTGCATTACTCCGTACTATATACGTACCTTATATTCAACGCCTGTATCCAAGGCGTAGCAGCCGGCAGCAAACGCGGCACACCCATACTAAGGCCATTAAACAGGGCTTTCCTCGAAATGGGCTAGCGCACCTTCCGATTATTCCCGACTAGCTAAAAGCAAATCCATTAAAGGCAACGAAAACTTTAGTTTGATTGTGAGTCACACGCTTCAGTCGATACCGTCGTGTGTCTGTAGATGGCATTCCTCATGCCGACAAAAATTTCTAATTCATGGGTCGATGGCTCTGGACTGTTGTATGGTTCACCCTGTCCATGTGACGTCAGCGCCTTCTCAAGAGTGTCTCCGGTACTCCCCGATTGGTCTCCCCATATTTCTTGGGTGACAACGGTCACTGCACTTTCTGTTTGCCGCAGATTCCCCGGTTAGGCTTCAATTTGCCCCGACACGAAATTCAGTTGAGTGCACATCCTCGGAGAAAGGTATATCTTTCAAGGTTTAGACATTTGAATTCTTACTCCATTGCTTTGTAGTATTCACTATTGAAACATCAGCTGAAATTGCTATCTGCCGATAACATTTTGATTGATGATCACGCAGTCCACCAGCGGTCACAGCCGCCTGAGGACTCACACGACCAGAAACGCGAGGGATCAGGACCAAGATCCACCCTATTCCCCAAGATTCGTGTTCGATTTGTATTTGCCAACTCTATAAAACGCTATAAACCACCATCAACACCCGATTTTGATATAGCCAGCTCACAAATTCAAATCGCTGATGATGCGGTCGGCCAAGTGCTTGTAGTTCCAGGTATTGCCGACAATCTTCTTCAAGATCAACGCGTGCAAGTTGACAATGGGCACCTTAACGATCTCGATCTGGAAGTTGACAGGGGTGCGCTTGACGCCCCGGCCAGAGCTGCCGGTGCCTGAGCCGCCGGTGCTCAGCACCAGCAGGCTGTGGTGATGGCGGGCCCGCTGCTCGATCCGCAGCAGCACCAACATGTCGCTGCCGCCGTGGACGGCGAGCATATTCACCGAGTCGACGGAGTCCTCCGGTTGGTTAAGCACGTAGGCTCTGAACTCGTTGGAGTCGTCAGCTAAGTCCACCTCGTCGCCGTGGCCTCTAAGAGCCTTGGCTGCTGCGGGAGTGTGAGGCGGGGCCGCGGGCTGGCCGTTGTTATCGCGTTGTCTCGTAAACAGAGCCATGCGGCGGTGGCCCAGCATCGAGCCCAGCAGCCGGTGGGATAACGACCCTTGCTGGCTCTGAGGGATGTCGCTGGGCAGAAGCATGTGTTTAAGCAGCGACTGGCGCAGCACTTGCTTCATCTCCGGGGTGTGAACGGTGGTGCCGTCGATCAGCGACAGCGTCAGCTTGAACGCATCACCATAGAGCTTACGTTCTTCGGGAGTAATCTCCGCTTCCGGTTCGTCAGATGTAGGCTGGTACAGGGGCGTGTGAGAGCAGATAAATCCGCCCTTCACCTCCTGGAACCGTACCCCTAGTTTCGAAAGCACGCGGATGATGTTGTAGCGAATCACGGGGAGCGGTTTCGTCAGCGTCGTCTGTACGGAGAAGAACCCCTTCAAAAACATCGTCTTCAGGTGCTCGATCAGCGGCATCAGCCCCGGACGGGCCTGGCGGTAGTGTTCCATAATTTCCTCGTCGGATAACGGAGGCACCTCGTGGGGCCACTCGGGAAGCTCGTTGACGTCGTTCAAGTTGATATCGTCAAAGGCATCGGCCATGAAGTTGTCATCGGAGTTCTGGGCGCCCATAGCGCTGGGCAAGGGAGGCACGGGACCCGAGCTGCCACCACCATAGTTAGAGCCCATGGCGTGGGACTTATTGCGTACGTGGCCCACCAGCTTAGCGCGAGCAGTGGGGTGGAACTTGCGCCGCAACAGCGTCAGGGGAGTGACGGAGAACTGCAGGACCTGGGCCAGTTGTGGGCTCAGGCTGCCGCTAGCAGTGCCTGAGCCAGATTGACCTTGTAAAGTAGGTAAAGGAGGCAAGTACTCCACTGGGGTAAACCCATGGAACCCCTTCTGCAGGTGCAGTCGGCCGTGTTGGCGTTTTTGCAGCAGCGATCTTCTTGCGTCCATCTGGGCGGAATTGGCCAGCGCTTGCTGTTCTTTCGCCGTGACCTTCATCAGCACACCGCGGCGGACAAGCGGGTCATTGCGGGGCAGTTCGGAAGTGGAGCCGATAGCCAGAAACTCCGGCGGCGGCGGCAGTACCCGCGGCTGTCTCTTGGAAGAGAGCTTACGCAACAAGTTATTGATCCCCAGCTTCGAGCCAAGTTCGCTGGCGCCGCTGGTGGAGGAAGAATGGCCGTGGCCCATCAGCTGTTGCTGAGTGTGGGCAGGAGCTTGAGGTACGGGAGGCACGGTAGCCGCGGGTGGCGAAGGCGCCGTCGTCAAATCGTCGTAATGCTGTTGTCTGGGGTCCACATCGACCAGGTGAGCCGGTTCGGGGATCTGGAGGGGGGCAATGTCGACGTTGGTGTCGAGAGCCTTGAACATATCCGAGACGTCGGGTGAAAACGGACGACGGGGAGGAGCATCCAACACGGGGGCGTCGACGGTGGTGGCCACCGGCTTGCCCTCGCGACCCGGGGAGGTGATGACGTTGATTTCCGTGGGCAATTGGTGGCGGTTGGGGTCGGGCAGGGCGCCGACAATGGCGGTAGTGCGGTGCAGCCGCTTGGGGGCTAACGCTGCCCCCAGCAGCGACGACGCCAGCGTATTTGCCGACGCTTGCGGGCGCGGCAGCGTGTCGCGGGAAGCGGCCTCCTGGGCCTGGATCTGCTGGAGCGGCAGCTGCATCGGCGCCGTGGTGGAAGAAGCGACGTCGGCGGTAGGCGTGCGCAGGCGTGCCGGTAGGGTGGAGCTGCCCGAGGTGGAAGTGTTTGTGGTGGTGGTGGTGGTAGCGGAGGAAGTAGGGACAGGGGCAGTGGTGGCGCCAGTGGCGAGGGGGGGAGTATTCGTAGTCGGCTGTACTGGCGGCGTCGGCATTTGCGGGGTGTGAGGCATCTTGGGGGTGGAAGGAGCCTCGACAGGGATGGGTGGTTGGGCCATTGCGCGCAGATTATTGGCGACGGCAGCGGCGGCGGCCTCCAAGTTCGTCGGCACTGGCGGTGCTGATGGCGGTGCTGGCGGCAATGCTGATCCCGCCGCCGCTTGATCGGGAGTAGCGGCAGCGTTAGCGCTAGATTCACGCTTTCTAAGCGCTTCCTCCTTCGCCTTCTTCCGCTTTCTCATCTCGTCGACGAGGTAGTAGATCGAGATGAGCGGGTGGAAGCCGCCGGTGGGGTCGGGCAACAAGTGGGCGTTCAGCGCCAGCGCGTACTCGCGCCCCAGCTCGGTGATCTTGTGCCAGTTCTCGCACGACATCTGATACTCTAGCAGCAGTAACACCTTGGTCAACTCGTCGGTGATCAGCTGGACGGAGCCCAAATCAAACAGGGCGATCGTCTTGATGATCTCCGGGTCCAATGGGAGTGTCAACGGCTTTCTCGGAGGCACGTACAGCTGGGTCTTGTGATCGTAACCCTTATTCATCCACGGGTGGTTGATCACCTCGTATAGCAGCGCTCTCTTGCTGGGGTCGACCACGAGCATTCTCAGCAATAACAGCACGCACTCTCTCAGCAAAAACAGCGGGTACTCGACGTTCCCCTTCTTGATCTTCTCGTGAAGCACCAGCACCAGCTGGTCGTCAAAGGGGACCTTACCACACACTAATACGTAGAGGACAACGCCAAACAGCCACACGTCGACTTCGGGACCGGTATAGGGCTTCGCTGAGAGTAATTCAGGAGCAGCGAAATAAAGAGAACCACAGTAGGTCTTTAAAAGCAGCGCGGGCGAGTATAAATTCAGCAAACCAAAATCGATAATCTTGATGTCACCCTTGGCATTAATCATGATGTTCTCGATCTTCAAGTCGCGGTGGACGACGTTGTTGCGGTGGCAGTACTCGAGCGCCAGGGCAATGCCGCGAGCAAATTTGCGGGCGTGCTTCTCCTTGAGGGAGCCGTGAGCGACAATATAGTCAAGCATTTGCCCGCCCTCGACGTACTCAAACAACATGTAGTAGTGGTTGGTAAGTGGCACCATTTCGTAGAGACGGCAAATGTAAGGGTGGAACAACAACCGGCCGAGAGCGCCCTCTCGGATGGTGCGCTTATCGCGGGCGATCTCCTTTTCAAACTCCTTCTGCCGCTGCGCCGCTTCCTGAGGGGTCAGCGGCGGCGGGTCGTTGGCGTGGGCTCGCTGGTACACTTTGGCAGCGCGCGGGATGATTTTCACGGCGCAGATCTCCTTCAGCTGCTGGTGGTAGGCCATCTTCACTTTACCCATCAGCCCGGCGCCGATGGTGCGGATGAAGTGCCAGTCGCCCACCAGGCGCCGGTGGAACTGCTGCTGCGACTTCTTCTCGATGGGAGAGTCTTTCTGGGTCAGCGAGGGCGGCGGCCGCGGCTTTGGCGGCGGCATGGGCAAGGGCGACAGCGGGTCTTCACCGGCGGGCGCTGGTGGCGGCAGCCGCGGCTGTTGCGGCGGCGCCTGATGGGACTGACGCAGCGTCTGTGGCGGTGGCGGCGGCGGGTGCGACTGATGCGGTGCCTGGGGCGGCGCTGGCGGTGCCTGGGGCGGCGCTGGCGGCGCCATTGGCGACTGCGTTGGCGGCGCGGGCGCCCCGAGCTGGGGCAGGGCGATGGCAGCGGGCGGGAGCAACTCACGCTTCAGCAGGCCGTTCAGCGAGTCGCCGGCACGGCTCTGGTCCTCGCGCAGACTGCGGAGGGTGCCGCTGACCAGCCGGAGCATCCGGGCGGTCGCCGGCTGGTTGTTGGGGTTGAGTTTGGTGGCGCCGGCGTCGGCGGCCACAGGGTCCATCGCGGGGGCGGGGGGCGTGGCGGTGTCGAAAGGGG